AGTAGCGTCCTTGCTCCTAGTAGTAAGGCCAGGAGCTCCTAGTAGCGATGCCCTTTGCTCCTGGGTGTTGATATGGTTCATGTGCTCCGAGAGTCCAAGATCACCCCCGAGAGTCGGTCCGACCTCAGCCACCCGACCGCGAGGGTGTCCAGGCATGTCCACCGCCTGAAGCTTTCTTCGCGAAGCGGCAAAGGATTCGTTGAGATTTCAGGGAGACCTCGAGGGGTTTCAGAATAGATGACGCAATCCCAAAGCTTAAAGTTTGGTGGTTTATATATGTTTATACAGACCCCCATCTAAAAGACATCTTGGGGCTTGTGCCATCTACTTTGAAACGACTGTCATCCATCCTAATCCACTGGATACATTTGGATACTGGATTCATATCAGAAATGATAGTGAAGAGAAGCTTGTTTTTACAGTGACCTTTTTGTGGTGCACAAGAACTTGTAAATCGGATTTCTTTGGAATCATGTGGCAGCACCAGTCTGCGCGAACCGAGGCCACGACCCTTTCTCAGGGAAGAGGCTTCAATAAGAAAGGAATCGTTCTGAGGGTTGATTCGCGTGCGTCTGTCTTGGATTTCGCCACTTTTTGCACGTTGTTAGTAGATGTTAGCATAGGCATTCTCTGGTGTTTTGGAGACTCAGACTCAGAGTGCTTCAGTGCTTTGTTGGAAAACTGATGACGGTTGTCGTGATTTATAGAAATGAGATGAAATGAGCTTCCGTCCATGATTCATCGCGGAGGGGGAGTGTATGGGTGACGGGCGGAAGGGGCGCACGAGCAGTGCACCCCTTTCCTCCACAGAGCCCACATAGACTTCCGCTCCCCCCCTTTCATCCTTTCCCTCTCATGCAATCTCCAAGCTCAACAAACCATGTTCTTGGTCGCTTGGCGCGTGCTGCGTTTGATCGCTCATGCTGCGCCTGGGACCCCATCCCCGCAGATTTGTGCCAGGATCTGAGCATCCAGCTCCACCTCCATCCGGTGGCGGATAGGGCAGGAGACAGAAAGGAGAAAGTCATGCTAAGATACCCCAAGATGGGTTGTGAACTTGGTTGTTTTTTTTGGAGAATCATTCATGGGTTATAGCCGAGTGATCGAATGCCCTCCGACTCCAAACAGCACGACGACTGTTCTTGTTCTGGTTCTTACAGCATGCAATACTGAACTACTGCGCAAAAAAGACCAAACAACATACACTGTCTATCTTAAACATAGGGTTCCTTCGTTATATTCATCATTCCTCTTCAAACAAACCCACCTGCACACCACCGGCATCCGTGACGCCACCTTGCAGGCGTGGACGGCGGAGTAGGTGACCGTCCCGCTGGAGGACCTGGCACATTGGCGGAACTGGAATTCGGGGTGTCCCGGACTCAACCCACGTGGAGGTGGAGTGAGAACATGGATCCGAACCTGGCACTCTGGTTGTTTTGCCCCACCAAAATGGACTGCCAAGCAAGTCAAGCTACCATCTTTTGGGGCTTCTAGCTTTTGATGCACCCCAGAAGTGGAACACCCGTGCTTGTTGAGGGGGAAATAGTCTTCCGTGGGAAGGAGCGTGCCATCCACTTCCAGGTCTTCCTCCAAATGTAGCTGCTCCTGACCATGCATTGAGCGCCGTTGCACCTGTCCAAGAGGGAGCCTGTTCTTTTCGCAATGCGAGTTCAAACTGGGTCTTCGTGTTTTGTCCTACTGGGTCTTGCGTATAAAGGTTGAATGTAACATGGGTAGAAAAGCTGAAATTAACTCGTCTCCAAGGTCATCGACATCGATTCTGGCACTTTCTGTTGATGGAAAAGTCATCCAAGCAAAGCCAAATTGTTTGTCACCATGTCCATGTCACACTGGAGCATGGAAGCCCATCAATCTCAAGTGCTGCTGGAGAACTCTGCACTGAGTTAATGAGTTCTTCAGACTCGTTCCGCGCCTCAGCATCCCTTTCTTGGTCTTCGTCAGCGTGTCACGCGAAGGGACTACCACCGTGTCCTCCGGCTTCAGGCGTTGGGCCATGAGCTGTTCATGGGGCTGTAGTGGTCGAACATGCGTCTGACATTGAACGCTCATGCAAGATAAAGGTTTTTTAAAATTGTATGTTGGCCTCGGTCCACCCAAAACTTGGAGTCCCATGACGACGGTCTTTCTGATCATGTTCTGCTGGCAACCCAGAGGCGGATGTCGTGCTCTTCGAGAAACAAAAAGAAAAAAGTGTTGCTGAGTGTCATCGTCTTCCCTACTCCTGGTCGAGATAAACTTACATAGGAAAAAAAACAGCCTCTTCTGGTAGCACGACTGTCGTGTCTTCATGCACATGAACAGCCTGTTCTGGTTGTCCCCATCGTCTTCCAAATTGTTTGGGGAAGGTTACGGCGGTCACGAACCCTATCTGAGGCCCCAATGGGCATTGATGAGATCCCTGAGACTTGGGCAGGGCCCATTGATGTGAACATGCATGGGCCCCACTGGGCCAAGGAGTCCAGAACAGATAGCTCTGGGCATTACTACTAGTAGCAAGAAGCTGCTAGTAGCAAGAGCATTACTACTAGTAACTAACACTGTTCAGGCGCTGATCCACTCTTTCTCATTCCACAAATTGTGCCTATGGTCGAAGGTGGGGCCTTAGAATGGAAGTTTTTGGACTGTTCTTGGGACGCCCCATTGCGCATGTTGGGAACTAGAACTTCAACTAAATGCTGACTACATCCACCTCAGCATTCTTGGCTTCAAATCCCCTCCGACTCCGACTAGTCTCGGCAAACCTTTGTATTAAAGAAACATAAAGAAACGATAAAAATCAGAAATGAGCCAAGAGTGTTGAGTGCCCTTCGAAAAAACCCTGGGCCATCTGATCCCACGCACGCCGAGACTGCGCAACGCGGGGCCATATCTCTCACCCGGATGCCCTCGGTCAAGTGGAGCCTGGCTTGTGCCAAAGGCCATGTCGAAGATGGGGGCGAGGTATTTTCATGGATAGGGAACCACATGAGTAAAGAGCCCTCCAGAAATCATCCTTATACCTTGAAGTGCCTAAAACTGTTCCTGCGCCTGTTGCAAGGATCAACAATCGCGTGTTTGCATATGTCTCACGACAACGGGAGGCTGCGCTTTTGAACTGGTGCTAGTGCTAGCGTCTACTGCTGCTCCTCTACTACTTACTACTCCTCTTCCCACTGCTACCACGATGACGACTACGACCACTGTTGCTACGACTGTGGTTGCTACGACTACTGTACTCTTGTATAATAACTACAAATCACTACCAGCTAAAACTATATACCTATATACTATCTACTGCTACCTACATATAAGTATACAACTGCATAAGTATGTATATAACTACTACAACTGAAATCACCACTACGACTACTACCACTACTACTTTACTCCCACTATACTCCTACTCCGCCACATGATGTGACCCTGGCAGAGTCTCTTGCTCTGTAGCTCAGAAAGCCCACTTCAAGCAGGAACGGAGGCACCTTCGCCATGTGTGTGGCCAGTGCGGCTTCACAGGCTCCAAGGACTTGTAGTAAGTCAAAGGCTCCTCAAGCAAAAAAAAAGAAAGGAACAACAAAACAAAACACGCTTCAAGCCATGCCACGGCCATGGGCACACCCCACAAGTCTGATGACCTTCCAACAATTGGCCCTCCGTCCATTTAGACCAGATGATGCTTGGTCCTGTTTGGTCCTATGCTTGTTCCTGTGCTTGAAACCCATTGGAAGATTGGTCCCATCGTGAAAAAGCAAAGAAAACTGCGACGGGTCCTCCAAGGTGGAATCGAGGATAGCGCAACTTCCTCGGCGCATGCGATCTGCGCAGATGATCTGCGCTTGAGAAGAACCGTTTGTCTTGCAGAGGTATTAATGGGCCTATCCAAATCAAAAACTGGGTGTATCTAACGTGAGGGTCCAGTATTCTTCATGGAACAGCCTGTCTATAGTTTAACTCTTCGACCAAAAACAGGCTGAAATGGAGTTTTGGAAGCAGGCTGAAATTCAAGGGGCCATCAGCCTGAAAACTGCAGAACGACAATGGTGCTTTGCTCCGAAAGATCACTGGACGAAAGCGCCGTGCTCGGCCGTGCTCGGCTCCTGCTCGGTCGTGCTAAGCCTCCCACGGGTCTTGCGGAACCTCGATGGTCTGGACCTTGGTCTTCGGTGATGTTCGGTGTCACTGGCCGGTCATCTGAGTCACCAACATCTTCGTCTCACATGACCGAACCAGGGCCTTTGGCTAGTTGACCTCGAGCGAACAGGAAGAGAACATGGTCCAATGGTATCAGTTAGGAAAATGTAGCCAGATTTCGCTCCTAGCACCACCGCCAGCACTGAAAAGTTGAAGAACTTTACGTAATAGGCCTTTCTCGGAATGAGGGGTACCCCCAAAGAAGACAAACAGGACCCCATGGTTTGCTACATTGCCCCCCCGGTCCTCTGCAGCTCTTTTTTGCACGCCGCAGGGAGTCTTTCTCCACGGCCAAAAGAGAGGATCTGAGTCTTGCTTCGACTTCAGCGAGATACGTTTGGTACAAGAGATCAAAAGCCATACAAGGTCCAGAACACAGCCTGACTCCAGAGCGCTCTAGTAGTCATGTCCCAACAATGGCTGCGTCTTCTCCCTCGAGTCCCTCCGCGCACGGAGTTTGCCAGCAGCATAGCCGACGGCCAGCAGTGAGAGCGCGACCTCAGTAAACGGCATCTTTTCTACAATGTCCTGCTCTTTCACCTGTACAGAAAACATCCCAAATCTTGCAAACTTTGTGGCATCAAACAGGTTTGCCTGCGGCATAGCTCACAATGGTCACCCAGGCATCAAACCTCCTCCCTGGGTTTCGGAATGTTGTGCCACATTGGGGGAGAAGTGACAAACAACCATTGGAGAAAGCAGCACCGAGTTTAACGTGTCGTGATGTTTTCTTCTCAAACATGACTGCTTTCCGACAAAGCACCCTCTATTCTTCCTTTGTACTGTATGTCTGCAAAAAAAATGTTCGCTCAAAAAGGACATCTCCCCATCCCGTTGCTGAGAGAAACACTGGCCTAATGCCACAGAGTCTTAACCTTTCAGTCGTATCTACACGGACCAGGCCAGCATTGCAAGTCAAAGCTTGGCACCAGAATGCACCAAAAGAAACCTTGCTAACAAATCCACAAAGGCCAAGAAAAAAATGAAACATCTCTCAAATATCAGGTGTGTTCTCCAGGATAATTCAAGAAGAATCTCATCCAAGACACCAATGCGACTTGGAACACCCGAAAGGTCTCCACCAGGGCAGACTCCTGCGTCCTCGACCGCGACTGCTCAAGTACAGTGGGGAGCGTCTTGAACTTTGGCGCCTTGAGCGTTTCTTTCAACTTCTCGCTCTCAACCTGCCAAGGCGCTGGAGTCTCACCCAAAGGAACCCAGTGAACCTCCGATTCTTTTTCCCTGGCTCTGGCTCTGGTGTCACTTGGTGTCCAGTGATTCCTGGATGTGGAACCAAGGCAAACCGAAGGTAGAACATCAGCAAACATGAGCAAAACAAATCCATCTCTGGACCCCGGAACTCCTGGCACACATCTCAAAACCAAGGCCAAAACAAACCCAAGTGGAGATTTGAGCCGTCAAAGGAAGCTGCACTTCTCGCAGCTATGCAGCTATACTGTACCAGTCGAGTGGTGTCATTTGACCCTACCCACCGCCTAAATGTTGGGCTCCCCTTGTCATCCCACCACGTTCATCCGGTAGCAGACCTTTGTGGTCATCCCCGCCATGTAGCTGCCCAGGACTTTTCCTGGCGATGCTGGCCGCTCTTCAGCAGAGAACTCCGTCCAAGAACCAAGAACGTTGAGCAACCTCTGCGACACATAGAAAACGGAATCCCCTTCAGAATCGTTTCGTTTGGAATCAACAGTTAGTGCTCGTCTGCGCCGCAAGCGTTTTTGCGAGTCTGGAAACAAACCAAACCGAACGGACAAACCCCTATGACCAGTGGTGACTCGTTGCCTGCTCAAATTCGACAAGATCCAACTGGCCCCATTCGCCCAATTCAACACCATTAGCTCAGGATGCTCATCAATCAATTAGCACTCGTTCATAGTAGTTACTGTTGGATCAACCCGTGTTCATTTCATAGGTTTTTGCCGGTCCTGGGCCTTCCTCCCCCACTGTTTGTGGTCACACCTAACACCTCAAGCCAAATCCCCTCAAATGTGTCCTGCAAGCACCTCATCCAATCCCTCGAAGCGGGGGATGGACCAATCACAGTCTGCTTCACTCATGAGCCTCGCACAGAGAGTTGCTAGACGGAGTCCACTGACATGGCTCCCCTATGTTTGAGTTTCAGAAGGAAAAACTCTTACCAAGTGCAAGGAGGGATGTGCACAAACACTGGTGCTGGCTGGCCGTGCACTCAAAGGGGTGCAGGCCTCGAGTTTCAAACACCGTTCAATCAAGGGACATTCCCGCACACCTAGCAGAAGTGGACCTACGTTGTTGCTTCGACCAGTTTAGTTGAATGGTTCGCTGTCAACATCCCGGACCCACTGTAGCCTCACACTGCACGGTGTGTTTGGGGGATATGTTATATGTTCTTCTGTTTTCATTGGGGCGACACACCACACCCATCTGCAGGCGAGGAACATGTTCTTGCCACGTTCAAGCTTCACCCATCCGTTACCTCAGACATTGCGTGACCCTCCGTGCTCAGAGAGCCCTAAAACTATAGCCATCATGAATCAATGGTAGTTGTCCGATGGGTTTTAAGCCTTAAGCTGACAACATGTGCTCAACGATCCTTGAATGGTGAAGGCCACTGCTTCTTGGACATGGATGGATAACTGTACTGACAGGTCTGTGCTTCATGCTTCAAGCACCATGTTCCTGTTCCACCAGGCCACGTTGTTTGAGGTGATATCCCAAGCGGTTGGCTGGAGGAAACTCTTTCCGGACTTTTGCACCCCAAAGGCGCAAGAGTGGGTGTCTCTTGAAATTAGGAGCAAGGACGCTACTAGGGGCTCCTTGTGGCATCTCGAGACCACTTTCAATGATCCCCATGTTTCACTCGTTTCGGCCACGGGGCATGCGTTGAGTTCAAGCAAGAGGTCAGGGGTGTTGTCCAACACCACTTGGGGTCAACCACCACCACCCCGTTCATGTCGAGGTATCATTGGCAAACGCGTGGTAATTTATACAGTACCTCCAAAGTTTTGTCATGGCAAGGGATAGGTCTTCATTCCGCAGCGTGGCTCGATGCCCAATGTAATTTGATTCCACCTTCAGCGACCACGGTGCACGACAACGCTTGAGCACTGCTAAGCTGAGCGAAGACTCGGCACTATGAACTGAAAACGGCACCGGTATATGATGTATATATATACAAAGAAACTGATATATTATATTGAATAGAGTAATTATAGAATAAATGTTATATGTGTTACTATCATTTTTTGAATGTTGGCATCCAAGAATCGCACGTGTCAAGCTGACATCCTATTGTTTCTGGCATCTGAAGGCGCATCGTTCTTTTGTCAAACCGCAATTCCACTGTGATTCGTGTTAACCAAGCCCTGTTTCAATGCCAGCGTGCTGGGGTGCCAGAACAGCCGGAACAGAAATGAGGACCTCTCCACCCCTTGTTTCAGACCCCAAAACCATCAAAAACCCTTCCTTTTCACAAAGCATGACAGCATGTCTCTCTTCCAACCCGCGTGGTGTGCGCTATCCCACCAGGGTGTGCTGCTATCCCAGCTGCTGCCAAAGTAGGTGCCCCAAGAGTTGCGAATCACCCAGTACTTGGTCCCGGAGTTGGTCACTCCCCAGCCGGTCACTTCCATGTTGTGGTCCACCTGATCCTCCGTGTAGGTCTTCCTAACAGAGAACAGCATTCCGTGTAGGTCACATCTCAAACGGATGGTAAGGTTAGTCCAGTTGTCCCCGATGGTCCACGACGATTGTGTGAGCTCTCGGCCCAGAGGCTCAAGAAGTGGAGTGTGTTGGCCACAGTGGCCATATGCTGCAAATCACTGATCTGGAATCTGGAACACTCATCCCACAATCGTATCGTTCAGCCAAGAGTCTTGGTGCTGTAAACACCCTCGTGCTCCATGACGTTCTGACTGAAGTTCATCATAAACTCATCATCCGTTGCAAAGGAGCAAGTGATGGGCCCTTGCGCGGTGAAACAAACACGTGGACCATTAACAAGAAGCTATTAGTAACAAGTGCATCGCTAGTAGTAACAGGCGCCTTACTATATAGTAGTAACAAGAAGCTAGTAGAAACAAGTGCCCTACTAGTGGACTATCAACGATGGACGTCTTCCCATCTTCTCGTTCCAGTTTCGGGCACTTGGCATGGACACTTTGGTTGAACACCGGATGCTGAAAAACACATGCGGTCCTCAGTGGCTCTTTTGATTTTGATGTGTTCAGTTGAAGGAGCTATTATGTGAAACTGACTGCATTGATCATTCTTGGGTTCAGTCATTGCTGCTTCCACCTGCCCAAACCACAGTGGTCCTCAAAACTTCAGTGAGAGAAACTTGATTGCGTTGTCTTGACTCTATCAAAAGCTATATGCCCTCTTTCCAATGAACCGCGGAGCAGACAGGCCCCCCTGGAGGAAGAGTTCGTTACAAAGAGGTATGGGATCGGCAAACCAACTTGTACATCGTAGATTCTTCCCAGCTCATCCAGTGTGCACCCCTGGTCAGAGGTGCTCAGGTCAGGCCGCTGGGATTCTGGAGCTGCTCTGAGACTTGGGGGGAAAATTAATGTTCTTATCCTACCGGCCCAAGAACAAAGTTTGACTTTAGACAGGGTGACTGTGCCACTCCCAAGCTCGGTGACTCCCGAGCCATATGTCAGACCCTTCCAAAGCCGAAGGCACCGTTCCAGCACCTCCCGTCTTGGAGTTGTTGGCAACACATCCAATTCAGAAATAGAAAGTCAGAGTAAGCTGACTTGATTTAAAAAGAAAAGATGAGTAAGAAACTCAAACTCCGATTTCGGACATGGAGTTCCAGGAACCACCGGGCCCCATCTTCCCTTACAAACCAGCAAGGACGGTTCAATGACCCACCAGGCCCTGTGTTTCGGCCCGACGCTCCCCGGCGCTCCTCGGGCGTAGATCTCCTTCATCATTGCAACCTCGCCAGAGAGGTTGCCTCAACCGAAACAATGCGACGCAAACCAAAGAAGCCGTCAACAAGCCAAAGAAAACCGTACAAATTACCAAACCCTGACATTGACATACACTGCTAAGTGAAACCTAGTTAAATAGCAAATCCGTCCCTGCCACAAAAGCCCCGCCCGTTCCGTCCACAAACGACCGACCAGTCGTCTTCAGCATGGGTGCCATAGGAGCTCACGCCATAGCCCGTCCAGGTCTTGATGGACCAGCAGCCGTGGCCGGGCAAGCAGTTCCGACACTGGTCCATGGGTGTACACTCCTGAGAGTTGGAGTGTTCAAGAACCGACCTAGAAATTGAAGGTTCGAAATCAAGAAGTTTAAAGGTTAACATTCGACTGGATAGGTGCTAAGCATGGCACCATCTGACAAGTATAGACTACTCCAGACTGTCTTTGGCTCCTCATTGGACACCCTTTTCCACGGTTCAGCTACATGTTACGCTTACCTTTTGCTATAACTGAGAACTATCTTTATCATAAGTGTCAAGTGAGTTCAAATAGGTGGGTCAAGAGTTCTTAGGAAAAAACTGATCTTGCACAGCTCATCTAGAGCTGCGGAGGTCGGGTAGCTATGGGACGATACTTTACTAGCGAGGGCTTTGGTGATTAATAGGTTCTTTTCTTTGAAGAAACATGGATGGTGATGGCGTTCAAATCTCAGGGTTGGATACGTCCTCCGACTTCCTGTGTTTCTCTATGTTTCTACTTTGCTGAATTTTGCTCTCCGACGAGCAACGACGCGTTGATTGCTGCTTCTTTCATTTTTCGATTAAACGCTGAACTTGCTCAACTGCTGCTCAGAGTCCATGTTTTTGGCCTGGTAAGGCATGCAAGTCTCATCTGGGACATCATGTTCCTTCCTGAGGCGGCGAAATCCATCAATATATGAATACACAAAAACATGAAGAATAGCATAGAATAGCATTGCTTTTCTGGGGGGGTCTCCAATTTCCAAACCACTCAAAGGTGGGTTAAACAGAACAGTCATGAACAGTCACTGAAAGTCAACCCTAACTCTCGCCGCTGCCGTGCAAAAGCAAAGAGAAACATGGCCCCTGTGGTGCCTCGAAGTCTTTGGCACCACTCCCAAATCGCCAAATCGCCAGGTCACAGGTACTGGTGGATCATCCAGGGATCTCCTCCGTCGCAGCCCGGCGGGGGCAAGCTCTTGTTCGGCGAGGGCACACAGTTCATCAGCACCTGCCTCGACAGCATCACGTCCTCAGCGAAGGCTGCAAGAGCTTCCAGTTGGAGAAACAGACCTTTGCAGCGTGGTTCTACTTAAACTGTGAAAAATAGACTCTCTACATAGAGAGAGATATATAGAGAGAGAGAGGGGGGAGATGTGCTCAATGTTCACTCCTCAAAATAAGCTTAGACCGTTAGATCTGGACAAGTAAACCCACCAATGCGTGGGCACTTTCCGGCGCAAACCTACCGGGCTAGCTTTGGGTGAACACTTCGGACAGCCCCAGGTCCTGCAGCCTTAGCGCGGGCACAGTTCATTTGGAATGTCAATTTTGGCATGTCTACCTTGGATGAATGTAATTTCTGTCAAAGTAGGGGACCGTGGTAACCCTACTTTCTCTCACAACCCACACACGCCCAGGTGTTCTTGTTGACCCATCTTCATACACCGAAGCAAAGCCGTTCGTCGTTCGGCAACCGCTTCGGCCAGGCTGCGGGGAATTGGCCGTTGCGCATCACCTTGATGCGATCGTTCAGCGAGGCCGTGGTGCCATGGATCCAGCAGGACCCACCTCGGTCGAAAACACAAAGAAAATAGACTACTAGGAGCAAAGACGCTACTAGGGGCTCCTGGCCTTACTACTAGGAACAAGAAGCTACTAGGAGCAAAGGGCATCGCTACTAGGAACAAGGACGCTACTAGGGGCGCTCCTGGCCTTACTACTAGGAAAAAGATCTAAAATGCTGTGGGGGACGGGGCAGTCCAAGTGGCTGTTGCTTGGAGCTCAGAGGACCATCTCAGTTAAGCTGTGTTTCATTGCGCTTGAGGTGTTTGGGATCTAGTTCTGGAGTGCTAGGACAATACATATCCGCGGTTCCCAAGTGAAAAAGACGCTGAGAATTTAAAAAGAATGGTGTGGACTGGATCAATGTCCAGTCAGAACGGGTTCTTGCGAATCCACGTGATTGATAAGAAGTTGATGCTGTAGGGTAGAAGCGATGCTGGTGCGCCAACCAGCCACCTTGACCATGCTGTGGGCCAAACTGAGCTCAAACCTTCGATGCTGAGACCTGAGCACCTGGTGTCCCCCCCCACACCAGTCTGAACCCCTCAAACCCTTCAGCGTCTCCTTACACCCCGACGAGCTGCCGCCACACCATCGAACCGCCGCCCCGAAAACGAGGCTGACAGCGGAGGTTCAAACCGAGCGGCAATATTGGGGAATGTGTTGATTCACGTCACTGGTCACCTGAGTCGGTTGTCCGAACGTGGACACGAAGGGACACGCAGGGGTTGGACAGGAACTTCATCCTGCTCGAAGGGCGGAACGTGAATGTCTTGCCCAGACTGCCTCTGAGCAGTTGTAACTAACTCGTGGAGTCTGCATTGCTGGAGGGACATGTCCTCATTTTGCAAACATTTGCTTGAAGAAATGAAGGTAGCCTAGTTCTTCTACATTCTTATTATCTCAAAAGTTCTTCCGATTGGTATGAGAGTCTTGCACACACAGATTCGATGCTATCCTGTTTCAACCCGAGTCTTCCCTTTGTTTTGACTTTGCGCTACAAGCTGTCAGTGGCTTTCCCTATCCCAGCTGGTACCAGGGTCTTTCTTCGCCCACAGCGCCGCCACGCGCCGCACGCCGCACGCCGCCTGTGCGTGCGTGCCGCCGTGGCACGAGATTCCGGCCATTCACGTTGCGCCAGTCGAAGTTCTCCGGCAAATCGTCTTCAGCAACCTGGGGAGAAGCTTCGGGAGGCTCTTGGGGATGGTTTGATGGATCTGGATATATGGACATATGGACATGGATGAATGGTTGACCTTGGAAGTATATGGGAACAGTCCATGGCTTGGGTTTGGAGCCCATCGATCCCCCAAGGTCACCCGAAGGAGGCTACAAAATATGGACTGGTAATTGGAATCCACCATGGAGGGACTGTACCTGATTGTCAGGCGAATGTACTGCATACATCTACATACCGGTGGGTTGTAATTGGATTGTCGTCGAGTCCCCAGATTCAGACTTTTTGGCCCCAACCCGTTTCCTGCGTCACCAGCTTGATTCAAGGAGAGAATTGGAGTCCACCCGTTTGGCGCCGTTTGGCCTCCATCCCGCCCCCATCTCGTGCGGAGCTCACCAGCATCTCCGCGGTGACCACGTCCTTGGGCATGTCTCGTGGCAGCCATGGGCGCGAGCTCCGGTAGCCTGGAGCAGCGAGGCGACCAAGGAGGCAAGAGTCTCTTTTGAGCGGTCGGTGAAACCAAAGAGTTCGTGACATATCTCGGTGAAGAAGGTTGGCCACTAAGTCACTAAGTCACCCAACATGTCCAGTCAATGGCACAGATCTTGTTTTCCCTGTCACATAGAGGCACATGTCATGTTCACTGGCCAAAAAGACATGTGGAAAATGGAAAGTCTACCTGCCGATGCTGAACCACCATACTTCCAGGTGCTGACTTTTGACCCAACGGGCCGGCTTCCAAAGTGGCAGAGCCCCCCCCCCACTGCTCGAGCGGTGGACGGTCCCCTACACAGGTCGTCCCTGCAATGTGTCCGAGAACGGACCCAGTTTCAAGGCCCTGGACCTCCTTGTCCTGTTTCTCCATGTTGTTTGCTTCCACGTAGTTCCAGTTCCAAACCCTCTATGTGATGTTGGCTCAGCTGTGCAAATCCAGTATGGGTGTGAGCTTTCCAAATGTATTGACCCCATGGACTCGCCTGCACAGAACCATGTCAAGCCTGCCTCAAAGGAACATACACTTACGTAAAGTAAATCCGCCCGCGCCGAAGGTGCTGAGGCGTTAAACTCCGACTATGCGTTCATTGCTACAATTGCTTGAGCTAGGGGCTGCATTTTTGTGTGGCAACGAAAATGCATATTCGCATCATGAGATGTCTGTGAGAGTGTTCCCAGAATAGATCACAGTGTCGTTCAACTTTGACATATCCCCATAGCTGCAATCCCACTAAACTAACTCCAGAGGTTTAGAAGCCCCGGTTCCTTCTTCCGAAAGAGATGAAAAGAGTAAGGAAAGTCCTTCGGGGAGTCTAAGCAACAGGAGTTGGCCAACTTCGGCCAAGTCTCCATGGTTCGCGGAGCTCGCAGAACCCAACCTAAGCTGCACAAAGCGTGAGGTAAACTTGTGTTAAGCAGAAGGAAACTTGCGCTCCTTGGGTTCCTTGGGTGGGTCATGTCCTCTCTCATGTTCTAGTCGCCTTCATGAAGTATGACGCGGGTCTTGTACGTAACGCGACGGGTGTAGATGCCTGCGGTGTGGCCAACTATTCGGTTCCACCGCTCCAGCCCCTCTAACCTGACACGAATGCGGATGAGCTGCAAGAGCAAGCAAGTGGCCCGGAAGGCCATGGCGCGTCTCTTTTGGCCCACTGCTGAACCCAAAACTAGCGCATTGAGTAGTGCATGACCAAACACGGACCCTCAGTCAGGCTCTCTTAAACTGTGGCTTCCATGTCCGTAAACCTGTTGCATGCACCCCAAATGGTGACGGAGGGTAGCACAAGCTACCCTCTTTACCAACATCTAGCAACTACGCGTTCAAACTCTACAGTATGAATGTCCTGGTGCTGCTTGTTCACCACTGGTGTTCGCGACGCTCCTCGATCCCTGAAGCAAACCAAACCATATGTCATATGTCAATCAATGTTCAGAAGTTTTGGCTCAAGTTCCAAAGACTAATTACTGTTGGGCGAAGCCATATAATTTGCCCCGAGGCACCACTTGGGATTGCCAATCTACCGTGAGGAGATTTGTCTCTACAATGCACTGCTCCTCACTTCTCCGGGTACCTTAGATGCCATTGCATCTGCAAGTCTTCCGCACTACCGTCTTGGTTGAGGCCGTGGCATGGTGAGCTCATGATGTGGCCCTCCATGGGAAGCCGTGGTGGCCTGGGACGAGGTCGAAAGGGCCAGGCCAAAAGGCCCGGCATGTTCCCGGTCACCCGTTTTGAGCCCGTACGAAACGCCCGCAACTCTCGGGCTCCCAAAAAAGAAGTGCACCACTTCCAGAAGGTTCAAGCGAAAAACATGATCCGGGGGCACTGAGTGTAACATAGTGTAACTATGCGCGAATTCAGAATTGCAAAGGGTTTCACAACAATCAGAATTATTGATTCGAATCCTAATGACCAGGACGGCTCGAGCATGCTCTGATTTCCGCAATTTTCCCTATCCTCCGGCTGATGAGAAAGGAGTTGTGACCCAGCTGCCAGCGCAGTCGTTTCCTGATGAATAAGGAATTGTGGATTTTTGCACATCTCCGTTAACTCCTTTGTCACTAGGAGGTAGTATATATATATATAACTACTACTTTGGGTGTGTGTGTGTGTGCAAAGTGCTGAGGGCTGGGATTTTCAGCCATCAATCTCTCAAACAACTACCAAAACACAATTTTAAAAAATATGTACAAAATCAATGGACTACTACCTGTGGGTTCCTACCAGTAGGTCACCACATGCTTGTGGGTTCCTGTGGAGCTTTACCTCTCACACTCAGCTCGTGGCATCGAAGCTCAGCTCGGCAGGCCTCATCGCCTGGTGACACGCCAGGTAACGCCGGAAGCACGGGACGGACTTCTGAAACAGAACAACGCTACTAGGGGCTCCTGGCCATACTACTAGGAACAAGAAGCTACGAACGGGGCTCCTGGCATCGCTACTAGGAGCAAGGACGCTACTAGGATCCTCTGGTGCCCCAGAACAGGTCTGGTGCCCCACAGGACTCTAAAAGTGACCAAAACAAGGATCCTCTGGGGCAGAATGACCCGCAAGACTGCTACTAGGTAGTTCTTCCGCATCACCGTCATTATTCAATATCATTCCAAGTCCACTGTGTACACGAAAGTTCCAAACCCCATGAAAACCGTCCCTCCAAAACTGTCCTTCTCCATCTCTCCCAAGTCAAACACACTCAGAACATCTTCCAACCCCAAGGGCCGCAAGACCCCACCTTGACCGCCTCATCAGCTGCCCAGCTCTGGAACTGTGCTGTTCTGTTTGCAGCCAACCAAGTGGGCCGTTGGCGCAGCTGCGGGCTTCGGTAGCTTGGGTAGCTTCGGTTGCGGAAAGAGATGCCAAAGGCCGATCTGTCATCAATGTGTGAGTGACCACCTGGCATAGCAGAGTTGCCGTGATTTACCAGTTGGGCTGCCAGAATGGAAAGGGTTCAACACCAACAGGAAGCTTGGTTCCTTCCACGGAAGCTGTTTTCCCACCCACACACACACACACACATTGCCAACTCATGGCCACAGAAACTGACAGGGAAGCCAAACACCTTATTGCGTGAGTCATGTCCAACCCCTAAGAACTTCAAGAAATATTGGGGGCTGACCTGGGGTGGTTGGTCCCCAAAAGAGTGCCACCATTGTGGAGGATTCCTCTGAGATGGAAATGTCGAAGTGTTTTGTGAGAAAGTCAACACAAGCAAGAAGCACTCCTGCTCAGTCTGCAAGGCCTCTTTATCACAAGCGAAGGCTCAAAGCTGAACCAAGTGAGATTTTCTGAGAGCAGTTCGAACCGGACACGCTCAAACGAATGAAAATGTAAAGTCGTTGAAAGCTACAGCTACACGGCTGTACTTCATCCTTCCTCCATCTCCATCATGTCCAAATCAATTCGCATTTGGAACAAGCAACATCAGTCATCAGAGCCATCAGTCGTTTTTGTGGCTTCTGCTTAGTCCATAAACTGTCTTTACAATACAAGACCTACAAAAAGTGTAGGCATATAGTCTAGTGCAAATATCCAGTCTGCAACCCTCTTTCAGTGTCCATGTCACTTGCCCTGCACTGGACACACCGCTGGACATGTTCGAACTGCTCGGCCCCCTTTGTACAAGGCCGGTCGCAGGGATCCGGTCGGCACCTGAGGGATCGGGTCGATTGCTCGGTCCCACAGACCCAGCTTTCCGGCGAAGTGGTTTCTAAGGAAGGTGGGTCTGTGCTGCCATCTGACAATCCTGAGGTCGCCAAACACCAGCCCAACCTAGTGTAGAGTATAGAGGTTCCAGTAGCTGCTGCATAGTCAGACCTGGCTGAAATATCGGCCATCCCGTGGAAGGATAGTGATAGTGAAGTAGTGACGTGCAAGCAATTGAAAGCAAGGGATCTGGTTCAGTTAAGTCAGACTCGGACGGTCCGGTTTGGTCTGGCCGCTCCAAGGCAGACCAAGCCAAAGCAGCCCATCACCCATCTCAGACCATGTCCCTTGCATGTTGCCCCCGAAGAACCCATAGGAATGACACCCGTGAACGCCCAGGTGTCCACCCATCGCTTCAATGGGAATGGATGGGATCGGATCCAGGTCGCAATCGGACGAAGGGCTGGGGGTGCTTTTGAAAGACTTGTTGGATGAAGGGACCATTTTGGGCAAGGAGGACAGGGTCAAAAAGGGGCAACTTGCTCATGTTCGTCCCGGAATTCAAAGACCACTTGTGAATTGTGGATCCTCATGGATTTAGAAACAGGATGAAACAGGGAATGTTATTTGTGGATCAAATTCCAACATCAGGAAGGCCTTGGGATTGAAAGCAGAACCTGAGTCCGACCGACACACCCCTGAAGATGTCACCTTCTTCTCCATGAGGTGGTTCAGTTCCCGCAAGCTGCTTGCCAGATCTCAGGAAAACAAATACCTGGTGCTACAGGCGTTCAGCCAAATTGGAACGAAATAGCAGATCGTCTAAAAGGATATGTGGAAAACAGTGGAAACCAGTGGAGCGACAAAAAACAAGTCAGCGTTGATCGGCTTTGTAAAGCTTGACCTGCCCTATCAACCGAAAGTGTTTGGAAACAAAACCAATGGAACCTAATGGGGCCCAAAGTCAAAGCTTGCTTTGGAACGGACTCACCTGAGTATGATTCCACACAACACTTTCCATATCCGGCTGGCAGCTGAAGGTTGTGCATCTCGGACTCTCAGACAGTGTGAAAACATATGAAAACCACCAAATAGAGGAAGCGCCACCTTCCAAACCATCTTTGGCAGATTGTTATGCTTGATTACCAGGGCGTAGTGGTGAAAAGTGTAGGGCATCTGACTACGCCCAATGAGGAGTTCATGGGGTGGGAACACGTTGGGAGTCGATACTTGTGAAACACCGCAACAATCAAGGAACCAATGACCTCCAAACCTGTCT